CAAAAATACATCGATTTTCTTTTTCGATGTTCTATCTCTGCTATAAATTTGAGCTCAATCGGACATGTACTCCGCATTTGGCAACAAGGTGAAAAAAGAGGGGGGGTACCCTTAAGACAGCTTCAGTTAAGCGAACTACAATGACTTTCCGGCTTTCTCTTCGGGCCATAGTAATTGTATTGAACGTGACGGTATATATGACTAAACTGTTGTTTGTGTATACGTGCAAGCCATAGGAATGTGAATATCAATTAAATTTAATGTAGGTACATGAACTTAGAAGTAAATGAATCTAGATATATGAGAGCAACAACAAGAATATAAAGTATCGATTAGCAAAAGGAACAAAAAATGAATTTAGTTTTGCAAGTTGCAAACGAATAAAATAAAACTTTTAATAATGAGAAATTGTCTAACGGTAAGGAGGACAACTGTACCCTGGAATATAGATACCTTGCTACAAGAATGTCATAGGTATTAGGTCGGCCTAACTCCGTCGGCCTGACCTTTTTTCTTTCGTCTTATTTCTTAGATCGAAGAAAAAGGTCTTGGTTTTGCCGTCTGAGGTACGAGAAATCACTCACCTCTTTTGTTTCGCATAGACTACTATATAGAGAATAGAGGATTTAATGGAATACACTTAGAATGTTATCATTTTATGAAAAAAAATTGAAAATGTGACATCCCACTACATTATTTCAAAAAGAAAGCCAGACGGTTATTTTGTTATTTTCTTACATTTTGTTCCTTAACAGAAAAGTCATATGCATATTATGTGCATAATGAGAATGAAGAATGAAGAATGAGATAGATACACCGTCAGACAGAAAGAAAAGCAAAAGCGGCACCTTTGATTTTAGAGTCACTGATCAGCATTTTGCAATCATGAACACAATACTCTTTAGGCATATGTCAAGGCTGAACTTCTGTATTATCCATTTTTAAAGTATGAAATATAGATACATAAATTGGTTGTGTCTACGAATAAAGACACGTGGAGATGCATGGAGGGGAGGGTTAGGACCTTTTCCGCCCAATCCTGCTACCCACAATCATTTATACTCGCGCGAGAAAGTCACGGTAGTTCTGAAAGTTGTCTTAAAATTCATTGGGGTTTTTCATACATTCAGCTGTGATATTGGGAACCTTATAACTAAAAAAGCGTTAATTAATCTGGAAAGTTGTCAGTATACGAACTAATTTTATAGCAGTAATTAATCTTTCTTATATAAACATTGCGATGAAAATATGAAATTTGGTTTTTCTCCTGTTTTGCTTTATATCTATTTCTATATATGCATAAAGAAGGAAAAAGGTTAGAAAGAAAGAAAAATGACATCAAAGAGAGTGAAAAAAGCGGTATAGTCTTTGAAGTTTCATGATGATCGAAGTTCAATTAAAGTGTTGGAAAGCGTGAAACCTCAAAGTAGAGAACCCAACTAAAAAACGCGGGTGCCCCGACGACATCTTTGCGTCGTACAACGTAACTCGTCGTGCTGATTCCGAATATCTAAGTTTCAAAAACTTCGTTCCTCTAGAAAAAGCCATCAAATTTTGATATGTTTAACAAGTTGTGACTTGACTTTACTAATATTATCAATACGAATCAATAATCATTGATATTATCTCTATAGCTGTATTAGCATTAGTGTGGTCTCTATGTCCAAACAAACGTCATAGATTACGATCACATTCCAAAGCATCACTTCTTTAGTTTTCCACTATAATTCAGAATGTTTTGTTAGATAGCATGGCATTCAGTCGTTGTTCTCCTCTCACATCTAATCACCAGAATTGCTGAGACAAAAAAAATGAGTTACATTAAATGTTGAAAATGTTTTTATTTATTTAGAAATTATGTCTTGTGTACAAATTAATTTTTTGTTTAGTGCTGTTGCTTCATCATGTTTGTTACTCGATGATGGTAATGATGATGATTGCTTATAACCGTTCGTATAACATTGTAGTAATTTTGCATATTGACGTTTACGACTAAATAGAAAATAAGAAGAATGCATTTAAATAACAAATCTGATTATATTCTACGAGAAAAATGGCGTCTTAGAATATGAATGTGGAGGAAATAGTCTCTAATCATACACTTACAGTTTTTGGAAGAAATAGATTATCAGACCAATTAATGCACCACATGTAATAATTGCAATGAAAATATACACCAATTTTATGGTACGATTTGACGAAGTTTGTAACTTAGTGTGTTTTGAAGAGATGTACATCCATTCGTTAAAGTTTTTCTCAATATCAATCTTAGTTTGAAATATTGCTCCTACAATAAACGACGAGAATATTTTTACAATGCACAATGAGCGAGAGATGTGATGTTGTACCTGTTAACAAGGATGTATAGTTATAAGACTTATTTGCAATGATAGGTTCATCGGCACTAATGGATAAAACAATTGACTTTTCATTTTGATTTCTTGGATATCCATTAGTTAAATGAATATTTCCAATTCCATATCTAATGGTGAGAAATACATTTTTGAATTCAGTAGTCAGTCAATCATGGTGAATAATTCTTACTCAGCATCACACTGTCGATCTTGTTTACAAAGTTTATTCAAATTATTTACAATTGATATTTGTGTTTTATTCCATAAATGATAATCATTCCACTAGGAAAAAGAAGATATATCAAATGTATTCACCTTTTAGTCCAACTAGTAAAAAATTAATATTTACCGATTGTATAGTCAAACCATCGAGAATAAGCGGGACAGGATAAGTTGTTTTAACATCTAAAAAAACAAAAGATTCACAAAGTCTAATCTGGTAGATATTTATCAGCTAATACGTAGAAGTTTGATAAACTATACGTTTTGATCTGATCAGACATATACTATCGAAATTTTTTGAGGCAGTTTTGAGTGAGCAGTGCACTTGAACAATGATCTAAGCAGTGTCATTAAATTATTATAGTACTCGATAGCTCCTGATAAAATTTAAAATCTAAGTAATAACTTACCCGACGCTACATTGTGATCGGAACTGCTTAAAAGAACAAAGTAAAATAAAATCTTAATGTTGTTCATTTCTGACACGATAGTTCACAAGTATGAATGTTTGGTGAATGTTATCCTTATTGTTATATCTAACTTAGAAATAATAGAATGTAAATGGTGAAAAAGAAAGTGTTTATTTTTCTTAGACTTTTGCCTAAAATAGATATTATCTATCGATTCCATCTATGCTGACTCAAATTGTTCAGTATTCATCTTCTACTCATTTTTTTTCTTTAATTACACACTCAGAAGGAGAAATGATAGATAGTAGGTCAGTGTGTTTAGACATATGTATGCCATATCAAAGATGATAAACATACACATATACATGTGATAAAGATTAATAGAATAGTGATTAGCCAAGGGAGTATTTCATTTTGTTCAAATATTGCTTACGCCTGTGTGAGTATGATGATACAAAATCATTTTCTATATAAAAGAGAATCAATTTTCATATTTCCGTTTTCTCTGTGATCCACAGGTCGTTATGAATCGATGCACAGATGTTGAATGTAACTATTCAATCCTATCCAAAAAATAAAACGTTTTCCATGCCAAGTTTTGCGATCTCTGCTTAGAGACTTCGATTTTCAGCTTGACTGAAGAGTACGACATAAACTCTACATAGCAAATAGATCCAATAAGAAAGCTAAAAGAACTTCCTATCAAACAAAATTTTCAGTTAAATGATATGTGATATTGGCAGATCATTCATATTTCATCAAAACCGCCTATATAGAGATCTGCGTAGATACGTTTTTTTTGCGCATATTCGTCCATTTTCATGAATAAAAGCTTCTTGTTGCATATGTATCCATCTGTTTATCCATAGAATTCTTCGATTTTAGTTATTTTTCTAAAAAAATGGTTCACTTTTTCTTTCCCGATATCATGTAATGGTTTAAAGTGAATGTATCGTACCAAATATATTTACAGAGGATACACAAACTCGACAGACTTTGTTCTGAATGCAGTTAAGTCAAGGAGAAGATTTTTGTTCGATTTCAAACCAATTGATGTAGCTGTCAACAAACATGGTGCACGATTACATTTTTAATATCAATAGAAATAAAAGAAATTAACAAAATTTGTCATAAAAACTTACAACCCCAATGAATTTGTCGTGAATGTCTTAGGTTCAATTCGATTTTATTAAAATAAATTCAAATGAAGAACCGAAAAAGTTGCACAAACTGATGATACAATCGATCCTCGCTGTATTATCTGACTTGCTTATCTCGTGAGAAACAATCGTTTTCTTTGTTCATCTTTGCTATTGGTCGCATGCTATATGATTAGATTGATTCATTAAAAAGTGAAATGAATGAGTCAAGTCTGGTTAAGGTCCATCGAATAGAAACTATTATAAAGTAGCTAATAGCTAATAATCCAACTTCTACTCAATGAAAAATTGTTGCACTTGGCAAATTCACTTAACAGTATCCAGGATGACCAATTTTATCCAAAGGTAAAATACATAGCCTGAGTTAATTTTAATACAACTCAAATCGATACAATGAAATTGAATGAAGATATTTTTATTCATTTTAAACGTGAGCTAAATGGTTCTAAGTGAGCATTTTTTATTTGGTTTTTCACTCGAATATAACTCGATTCATTCATTTCTTATTTGCTGATAATTGTCAGAGAGGTAGTTTTCCACAGATTCTGTGAATGTTGATCAAAGAGCAAAAGCTCAACAATTTTTTTACAACTATTTATTCAATTATGTATTTAGAAAAAAAATAAGTTACATATTGCACATTGACACATATAGAGGAAAAGGAAAAAAGTACTAAAAATAATGTTTATCAAATAAAAATGCAAAAAGAAAATACAAATGGAATGATTATACATTAAAACGTTTTTCACTTTTATCAACATGCCAATACATTCTAACCGTATGATTATCTAACCAATCGAGATCAACTTTTTTCATTGGACCTGGCAAATTTTTTTCCAATCGATTGGCACCATGCCTTGATACCAAACGAATTGTTGTCGACGAACCAAAAAACGTTGTAGCTGTTGTCTACAGAAGAAAACAAAAAATTATTTTGTTGTGACCTTAGATATTTTTGTATTTATTTTCATGCATAACATTTAAAATTACCTGCCAAAAATACAATATTCCTTCGTATGCAGAATACGATGCCAAATGTTTTCCATCAGGAGAAAATTGTATCTATAATAGAAAACTATCAAAATTATTTGATTTGAACTAGAAAAAGCGCAGTCTTTGGGTGAAGGAGAATAGAATAAACTATGGTTTTACAGTCGACAACCTCAGTAATTAGACCTCGGGAAATGTAAACATCAAAAAGTTCGTTGAAATACTTGTCTGTAGATTTGCATAAATGAACTTAACGAAAGTTAGTCAGCGAACAGAACAATTAATCTTTTAAACTTTGATATCTTCAAAACAATTTTACTCTTATTCTAGCACGTACTGATGTAACAACTTCATTTCTTGGATGTGCTTGAAATGGCTACAAATAGAACAAAGTTTAATCAGAGCATTTGTGTTTATCAATTTCTTCTTCTTACTTGGTATTTTGGCGTTTTTAAATCGTATATTGCTAAAATACCGCTCTTTGTACCCACACATAATTTCGGTGGATCTTGCATATACGTAACCATTGGGTACCTAAAAAAATGAGAAAAATACATTACTTTCAGAACAAGAAATATGTGCGTCTCATAAAAGTTTACCTTAGCAGTAGACTAAATGTGTCTGAAACAGCACTGGGACCTTTGTGTCGTAATGTACTTAAATCGATACAATTCAATGTTATATCTGTTACCTAGAACAGCCTCACAATATATTAGATGACAGTTAATAGTAATTTAGTTCAAAATGTAACTAGCATACTTCTAAAATCAACTCTGCAACATCGTGTGGCGTTTTTTCAATCAATATTTTCATTAAACGTAGTATTTCAGTTTTTTGTTCTGGTTTTATTATTGGTGGATTTGTCATATTTGGATTTGTTAGATTTGTCAGTGTCGAAGATGATGATGTTGAGATTGATAGTGGTGGCGGTTGTACTTGCTGGGTCATGACATTTTTAGCTAATTCGCGAGATAACGTTATTATAACGACGTTTGAACGAGCTGTTGCAATTAAATTTAATGCAGATCGAGCTGTTAAACACGTATCGGTTTTAGCAGTCAATACACCACTTAATACACTAAATAAAAACAAAATAGAATTATATTGTTACTAAAAACAAAAATATCTATTAGCTACTACTATAAGGCAGTTACTGACGATGAAATAGATTTTACAGAAAGTGCTTATTACAACAAAACAAAAAATAGGAACTAATACTGAGTACTAGAGCAAGTTCCTCTCGTGGTCTCGTTTTCTTTCTCTTGATGTGTCATAGCAAGAAATAGCGAATGAATTTAATATTATTCACATTACGACATTTAAGACAGAGAGAAACATGCATTAGACAAGAGACAACCGTGCAATAGTCATCAAATGACACTACATCAATAGAGAATGATCACCTATTCTCACGACGGATAACAAAATCAGATCTAAAATAAACGTATTATTTTAACTTTTATTCAAAAGTTAACATATCCAAAAACAGAATATTAAGAGTTCGGAGGACAGAGCAAAAAAAGAACCTGAAATATAAAGCTTAGTTTTAAGTGACTGCTGCAGTTAATAAACTAATTTCACCAAAGATAAGCAAAATAAATGTCAGTCTCCATCTACTTAATGATTACCTGCTCGTATATATATTAGGATGTCTATGTCTAAACAAAATACTTTTTACTCCGTTTCTGAAAAATTCTTTTAAATTTTCTTACTTCTGTGCTGTTGTAGAATCGGTAGCTGCACATAATTCCAGCAATGTTAAAAGTACAAGAGCAACGTCTAAATGAGGCTCCCATACGGTGTATCCACGGCCAATCAAATCAATAGCTGTACGCCGTAATGTTGAATGAGCAGGAATATGATCAAAATTATATGAGGATAATAAACTTGTCAGTAGACGACCTAAATAAGAGAGAAGATTTATCATCTTTTGGTATCAACAGCAGACATGAAAACTTACTTATTGTTCTTGTTTCTGGATTATCCAACGCAAAGCCTTTATTCACAATGGTGGATAGTACTGTTGGTGGAGTTGTTGGGGTTACTGGTTGTTTTGCTTCCACTCCTTGGCCGTATTTGGATCCGATAATGCCCATTAGTATAATCGCTGGTAGCTGACGTGATTTTTCTTCACTTAACGTTTGTGACGGATCAAGTGCTAGTTGCGCACAAATTTGAACGTAATTAGTCAAAACTTAACAATCTAAACACTTACGGCTATAATCATCGATAAAAATATCTTTGATGTAGGCATCGTATAAGGCACCATTATCTTTATTGTACGAATGATTGAATAAAGTTGACCATTTCGATATGAATGATTGCCATTCATCCGTATTTGAATGTAAATAGTCCAATTCTTCTTCTAATAGTTTTCGAGATGCATCACGAAGCTAAATCATAGTCGATAGAGTATTCAAGTTTGCTGTTTAACTGACAAATCAAAAACATACTTCTAAACATAGATCTTGCCAATGAGAACAGAGTATTTCAAGGCTCAATGAATTATAATATTTTGTCTGAAACTGCTTAACCATATCCGAACAGTAAAAATGTAATAATTTACTCCAAGCTTCACGTTGAGAAAACTGCAAAAAAGAAGCATTGTCAAATTTGAAAGCAAATTTCTATCTCGCACACTTCCACATTACCAATGCCTTTTCATCTTGATCTCCTGACCTATAAAAAAAGCAGCAGCTGTAATAAACACCAAAAACGTGAACTTTTTCAGAAACACGTACGCTGCTATCAAACGATCACCATTCATTAACATGTAGGACATTGATACCAATGCTAACAGATGTTCTGTATTCAAGATCGAAGAAAATTTCCATCGCGATTCGAACGCAGATCGATCTAGTTGTTTAGCATGTCTTGATGAAACATAAAAACGCAGTCCATAAGTCTTTGATTGACATTATTTTCTTTTTAGTACTTACTGTACTTCATCTTTTTGTTCAGTTTCCATACCGACGAATGATATCAAGAGGTTTGCTGTAGGCTTTTTTATTTCACTGAGATAGCGTTGCCATGTCGGTAAAATAATCGCCATATGCTCATTTTTACTCAAAACACCATAGCTGATATAACGGTAAGGTTGTTGTAAATTTAAACGATCTTTACATAATTGATCAGTTTTAGAGTCAAATGTCCAAGGATGCAAAAGTGATACTAATAAATTTGATAAACGAGATAAAGCGTTTGACATTGTCTGAGAACGTGTGCTAAGAGCAGAGAAGTTCATTTACAAACAATAAATAGCTGTCAAATCTGCAACCCAACTGATAACTACCGCTACTCAACATTTGATTGCAGAGTATCGAATGTCATTACATACCTGTTGTATGTGTCTTTATTTACTGCATCAAGTTGTCCTAAAATAAGAAACAAACGAATAATAACATTTAAATATCTCTTCGTTTATACTGCAGGAGATGTCGCCTCCTCTCAAAGAGCAATCAATCAAAATCAATTTACTAGCACTTTTTTGTACATTCTGCTTTTCTAAATCGAAAACAATTATTTGGCCTAATAAATAAACAAAATAAAACTGAGTAAATGGTGATCATAATGATTAATTATGTAAGCATTAGCAAAGCAGCATAGCTGACATCGTATACATACTAACAAACTGGAAAAGATCAAACGTAATTAAATTAGATACGTCATCACCAATATCCGTATTAAACTGTTGAAATATAAATGGTAGACGATATTCATTTTGACGAGATGACACCATTAAATCAGTTGAATGTGATGATCCTATAATATGAAACAATTATTCTTAACTTGAATAAATAACTTATTGAGCTACTTGCCAAATTTTTTTGTTGATTTTTTAACATTTTCATAATCTCGTCGTTTGAATGTACTTGCTAATTGTATATAGTGTGATTCATTAATATCAATTGATAATGTTCGATTAGCACCGCTGTTTACACTTTGTGGATCATTATACCATTGAAATAGTTCTTCACTTAATATGCCGTGAGCAACACGATCCAAGTTACCTAATTGACAAATAAAAATCAGCAATAAAGATAGTAAGAAACGTAGGGGTGTGTACAAACCTGTTTCAATTTGCCATACATATAAACTTCCATCTGCACATTTAATCAATAGAAAATCATCACTAATTCTCCATCTCAACGCAGTAATAGGATATAGTTGTTTATTAGCTAATAATACAGTTTTACGTTCTTTTAAACTAACTAATGCTACAGAATGATCACTAGCTATTGAACATATACAATACTGCACTTTAACCTAGACACAAACGCAAAATATCAACAATAAAAACAAGATGATAAAATGTCTGACTAACATTGAACATTGGTGGTGGTATGTGAAACATGATAATTGAACCACAATGGACCATAAATGTATGAATATTTTGTCCCGTTGCGAGATCCCATAAACGGATTGAATGATCAGTACTACCGCTGACCAAATGTTGAATATCATATCGACTGTATTCACTGTGAGGATGAATTAAACACGTAACAATTTGGCTATGACCATTCAATATTTGATATTCTACAAGTAAAATAGATAACATTCACTTGAAAGAATCATGAATTGAAAAGATGTTCATTACTTACCAAAATTTTCTTTATCAAACTCCTGTATTAACAGTGCTGAAACTAGTTTCAAGGCTGATATCAGAACAATTTGTCCAGTATCTGTTCCTAATGCGATTTTGTCTAATGTAATTAAATGACAAGTGGCTGTAAACTTCTTTATGTTTCGTAACGGTGTTATCTAAACTCGTATGAAAATTAAATTTTAGAAAATTCCCTTGTTTTTTAAAATATTTACAGAATTTAATAATTTTCTCAATGTAAATATATTTTCAAACGAGTTTTTCCAAATATCTTGGTATGATACTGTCCATGATGGATGCATGTCTACAAAGAAATAATAATTGTTATTAAAGATAGTAGTGATGTAGTTAATTGTTACTCACCAGTTCTTTTTTCCATATCAGTCTGTTTAAAGTTCATATTCCATATCGATATGGTACCTTTCGAATCACCACGATAAACTACACACTGTTTGGATTTAGATCCACAACAATATGGCGGAGTACAATCTAATTTCTAAGAAATATCAACAAATGTGAACTATTCCAATTGGATGTGAAACTCTTCATACCGACTCCGTTCCAACTGATAAACAGTACAACCATTGAGGTGTTTGCATATCATTTTTATTATGTTGTGTACGAAATTTTGGATTCATAAACGTAGCATTTTCCGGTAGTCGAAATACGTGAGCATATCCGTTAGACGTAAACAGAATAACAATGTCATGCGTTGGAAAATAACCATTTACCCAATGATCATTCTTGATTTTGCTCGTTTTTTGATTATTGCTATACGAACATAATTCCGTAAAATCAATACCATCAAATATCTATAAACAATTTAGACAGAATTAATTTAGTTTTACAAACGCTTATCAGTTACTAGAGACTCAAAATAGGATTCATTTCTGGAATAATCAAAAGAAGATACCACGACCGGGTTCGATCTTTCTCAAGGATCTCGCCAGGTGGTTTCCGTCAAGAGAGACAGAGTTAAGGCACACAACGCAGTGGCCAGTGATATTGTGCTCCGTTCTTGTCGTGTGAAAGTTATCGTTCTTTGTTCGATAAGAACAAGGAATAGTAACATCTTCATACGATGTGGACGGAATTCTTTTGCATGTTATGCTTTAACTCTGTCTTTCTCGAAGAAAACCACCTGGTGAGGCCTTTAAGAAAGGTCGAAACCGATCGCGGTATCTTCTTTTGATTATTTCAAAGATGAATTCTGTTTTGAGTCTCTAGTAACTGATAAGCGGTTGTAAAACTGAACTAAATTAAAATTGTATCAAGTCGAATTTTACGTTTCATATTAATTTAGGCATATGTTTAAACTTCTTTCACAACACAAATATCTCACCTGCCATCCTTCAGAATAGATAATTAACATCATTCGTTGACATTCAGAACACGGCACAATAACTGATCCAAATTCACATCGAATTTCTTTACTTTCGTGTTCCTTTAATTCAATTGACTGATTGTCTTTGCTCGTCTCAGATGTTGCCTAAATAAAAGAAAGTAAAATAACAGCATGCAAAGCTGCAGTTTTTTTCAAACCATACAGATGACAGTGATCGTGGATCAAACGCCCATAACTTTACACAACCCGTATCAAGAAGACCAATAACGATGATTACATCTAAACAATAAAAAAACTAAGACTTTATTTTACTGTATGCTGATAATTACTTCCATATACTAGATCATTTTTAAATAATAGTGTTTTTTAAAAAACTTGAATATTGAGATAATTTTTTTTTATATAAGCTTTATTCTGTCAAAATACAAGCGGAAGAATATTCCATTATAGTATTCTAAACTAAAACTATCGATTTACCTGGTGCATTTGGTTTTTGAAATACGAAGAATGTTGATATCCAATCGGCATCTGAATGGGATGGTATTAATGTATATTTGATTTCAAGTGTTTTTATATCATAGATCAAAATTTCCGAATAACATCCGGAACAAACGAGAAAATTTTGATTTGTTAATTGATATGTGAATGACTAAAAAATGAAAAAATATTATTCAATTTCTAAAAAGACTTAATAACTTACTTTAACAGCACGATGCTTCAAATTTGTTTTGACATGTTCTAAACAACTACCATCACTTTCATTCCACAATTTTATCTCACTGAAACAAGTGACGCTATAGTATTATTGTTATTATAATCAACGGGATGTTAAACATACCCGATATCTGATACGCTGATGAACTGTTCAAGTTTTTGTGTTGAATTTGTGACGGGAGCAACAAGAAAACTAACCTGACTCGTATGTCCGATTAACATTAATCGTGGAATCAGCTAAAATAGGAAAACAAGAAAAACAACATTTAATTGTTGAAATTAGAAAGATAAACAAATCAAATGTGACACACTTGCTTATCATTGAAAAATATTTTCCAACAAATAATTGTACCATCGTATGTTCCAGTGATCAAATCTTCACCTGTCGGACTGACATACATTGCCGTTATTGATATTGCTGGAGATGTTTCCGACCATAGTACCAACGGTAAAAATATACGCGAACTGTTTGCCATATTTTTTTCCGGAAGGAAAAATCTACAAAACAGTACAATTGTGCAACGACTTTCAACAAAATAATTTATATATTGAAAAGTCTGAGTGATAGGGCATAGTAAACTGGGCTCTAATCATCAAATAGTCTGATATTTGAGTTTTACATTTCATTTAGAAATACATCTGCCAAATGAAAAGACTTCTTTGTAGAATCGCATCAGCAACAACATTAATCAAAATAATGCATGTCATATATTGTCGTTAAAGAGAGACTTCATCAAAATACAAAAAAGACTGTCACTGCGGTTCATCTTTTTCCGGCAACTAGAGACTTTTTGCATTGTGTGTCATGATTTTAACCAATCAAAATTATATGCCCGACCTCTTACCATTCAGATCTTTACTGGCAGATGACTCTGTCGGATATCGTAACTATTTCAGTTCTACTTCTAAAGATAATTTTCTTCTCTACATGCGAATTACATTAAGTCAGACCAAAAAATACCGTGGTTCTTTTGATCTCTCATGACACAAGCCAAAGGGATTTTATCTTGCTGTAAAAAATCACTAACCCTCACTCAGCAGTCGATCTAAGTTTAAGAAATTAGCTATCAGCAACTCTAAAATCTTTTTAATATATTATGCAACTGGTAAGTTGTAAAGTTTGGTGTTATTCTTCTGTTTAATAAATTCTTTTAACGCGTTATTTTACTAAAATTATTAAAAAGAATTGTTTTGATTATAAAAATTCAGTTAAAATACACTGTAAAAATTTTAGAAAACACGAAAAAACAAACTGTTTTATCGAAGAAAAAAAAAAAAGAGTCACTGTCAACGTCTTTGTATCGTAGACATGTGATGTATATTAATATTTTCTGAGATAGAAGAAGAATTTGAATGATAGAGCGTAAAATGGTCATTAGTCAACTGTACAGTTGGTGACGGAAGAGTTACTTTATTTTGCTGTAATGATTGTGATGGCCACAATAAATGTTTTCTAGGTGATAAATACTGTGATTCTTGAGCGTTGTGTCTTCGACGTTGTGGTGGTTCTGGTTTTTCTTGTTTACTTTGCTCAGTTGTGTTTTGTTTTTGTTTTAATTGACTAACATTACTGGTTAAACATTTCAGATGTTGATAAATAATTCTTATATCATTTGTTTCATAATCAAAATTATATCGATAATTTGATTTTTTAACAGAGCTTGGCGGTAGTGGAGGTGGATGATCATAAGTGACTATTGCTTCATGAACATCATTCGTAGTGGTTGATATAATTAAACTATTATCACTGGTCATTGTTGAATTATTTAATGAATTTTTTCTTAAATATCTTAAATAATTATTTCGAATTAATGTATAAAATAAATGCCATTTAAATATATACATTTTCGATTTTGTTTGAAGAATATTTTCGTAAATGAGTTCATTTAAAGATAATTTTTTTTTTTGATTCTCAAGTATACGACGTTTTCGTTGGATATCATACCATATTAGATCACAAAATGTTACTAAAATAAATAATAAATATACTATTAGTTAATAGCATTATTCATAACATTGAATAATTACCTAGAATGGGATGTCCATGTAAAATTTCCATATGTATAAATGTTACATATGTTGCATAGCCCTGATCTAATCGTTCTAAATTTCGTCCCATAAATGAATAATCTAATCTACCCATAAATAATACTGATGCTAAAACTGCTTTAGCTAGTCTAATAATACACGATAATACACCCAAAAAACAGTCAAAGAAAAAATTAAAATAATTAAATAAAAAAAAGATTCGTCGATTATTTAATGAATTATTTTTACCAAAATTTTGTAAAAAAACAAATTCAGATAATATTGATACCAATATTCGTTTTAATAAAAATATTAATATAACTGGTAAGAAAAATGATAGAAAACGTTGAAACCATTGAATATCATATGTTATCCATAAACGTAGAATAAGACAACAAAAAAATGCTATTTTATAAAATATAATAAAACCCCATGCTGTATAACCACATAGATAACCAGAAAAATGTAAACATTTACACATTAATTCATTATTATTAAAATTATGTCTTGGTGGTATTTCATTATAGACACCTTTATAAGCAGATAATAAATGTTGTTGAATTTTTTTCATACCATTAAATACTTGAACACAATAGATTAATACAGCTAAAACGGAACAAAATAATATTTCATTTATAAATGATGTACCCATTTCAATATTTAAATTTAAATGTTGTAAAACTAATAGACGTAAATTATTTAATTGTGTTTTTGCATTATATATACCGTAAAATGTTAATAAACAAGTTAAATTATATAATAAAATCATAACAACAGTATAGGTATTCAATACTTGAATAGAATATGTAAAATAACGATGCCATTGATATATGTAAGAGAATGGACGAGTAAAGATATTATTATAATATAAATTTTTTGATTCTTTGGTTTTTAATAGACCTATGAAAGTAATTGAAGTCAATAAGTAGAGAAATCTAATAGAGGGTGTCCCAAAAATGACTTACCCCCTCAGTATTTATTGGCTTTCGTGTGTACAAATATAATTGATATTTTTACTATCAGTTTAGTTGAGTAGAGCAAAGTTTTCTGGACAAAATGAGACGTTTCCAAGCTCTCTAAGAGCATTTCTCATAAAACAGCATTCAGTTTACGGACGGCCCTAAGAGTGTATTTTGTTTTCTCCTTGATTTTGCTGATTTTGATGGTATCAGACCTTCCGTAAATTTACTGCTGTTTTTTTTTATGAGAAAAGCTCTTAGAGACGCCTCATTTTGTCCAGAAAACTTTGCTCTACTCGATTAAACTGATAGTAAAAACATCAATTATATTTGTACACAAGAAAGCTAATAAATATAGAGGAGGTAAGTTATTTTTGGACTACCCTATAGATTAGAAGTTTTAAAAATATTTTCTTCATAATTGCTATTGTGATTAGTCACAAAACTCGAAATTATACCAAATAAACTTTGCTTACCTTGTGTATAATTAAATTCTGGTTTTGTTTGATAATCTGGTTTCGATAATGTTGTTGATAATGTGGATGATACTAATGATAATTGATGCTCTTTTAATTTCTCATTTGTGTAAAATAAATGTGAACATGTTTTCTGTAGTTGTTGTAAAAATAAAAATAAAAATTTAATCATAACAAATGATAGCAACGTGAAATGAGGTAAATTTTTAAATATTGAATAAAGAATATCGATATTGTTAATGTGATACTGTTCATGTTTAATTGGAAATAGAGCTCGACTGTATCTTAAAATAGAAAATCCTGTACAATAACTTTCGTATGCCAGTGTGTAGCCACCATCAACAAGAGTATAGAAGAAAGCCAAACCATAGGAAAGAGGATGAACAATATTGGCAGCAATTAATAATGGAAAATATCTCATTCCAACGAGAAGAACAATACCAATTCGCTTTAATAATTCAATAATAATTCCTTCATGAAATTTTGTATTAGGTTTAAAAATAATTTCTTCTAAAATTTTTAATACTTCATTAGTAGATATACCAAATATGGCTGCTATCAAATGTCGTTGACGTTTATCAAATAAATTGAATGGTATAGGTAATGATGGTTTACCATTACAAAAATTAACACATAGTGTTTCACGTTTACGTAAAAATGAACAAATTAATGTAACAAGAATAGCTAATGGTAGAGATACCAAATTTTGCCACATATAATTGTCGAAATAACGACATTTTTTTAATAGATTAACTGTTGAATTCAAATTACGAAAGGTTTGAGATGATTTGATTTTCTCTTCTATTGATGTATTAGTAGAATTAATATCATCTAGTTCGAAATTATTTAAACGAGATTGTATAAATGGAATTGTGGCTAAACTCAAGGATGATATGACAATTGTGCTTAAAGCGAGCATACACGGAGTTGAATGAAAGAATGTACGAAATGAAATTGCCTTGATAGAAGATATAATACTGTTTTTATCGTCGAAATCATTGAGATCTTTTGTATCATGTATTAGTACTCTGGTTGTTTTAGATTGACGATCAGCATGTCTATGGAATGGAAACGATCGAATGACAGTTTGCTGTGTATCAGTACTCTTTGGCGATTCATTTGCACTAGAAGTTATTAATAAGAACACTCAGAAAGAGAAACACGTCATTATAGACAATGATTTAATAACATGAAATCTGACGGTGAAATTTTCTCAGTTGATCAAAATCTTTCTTGTTTAACATAGATTTTTAAGGGTAATTTGTGATGCTGATCATGAATCTAATAACCATTTCGGTGACTGACCCTTTCTCAAGTGGGAGTGTAGAATCCGGATCTCTGGAGACCCATCATCGTTTTAGTGGGAAGAGTGCGAAGTTTCCGCTGTGATTAAAATTTAAAGTATAATAAATTGTATAACTCTTTTCTCGTTAAGCTCTATAAACTGGACAGGTCAGAATCTGTTCAAGTAAAAGTTCTTGATGGATCTCTAGAGACCCGGATTCTATTTTTAATCAACTGAGAAAGTCCCCTCGTTATTCTTATTTCAATCATCTGAACCAGATTCACAAGCGACTGTCTTTCATAGAGTCAACTGGATCAATCTTGTACATTATCGTTAAAAAATTTTAGTTCTACTATCGTATCGAAGATTAATATTTGACATTTGTTGAGATTGATTTTTAAAAAATAGTCATGCATATTGATACTAACCTATTTAATTCATGACATTGTTTTGTTCTAATTAATTTTGTTTTAAAAAGTTTATAGGTACGACGCAATACAATTGGAATAAGAAGTGCGACACAGACTAATATTGTTGCCGTAATAATCTGACTACCTTCCCGACTAACTAAACAAACAGAATGAAACTGAAAAACGAATGTCAATATTGAATTTTTTATATAATATGTACCTTTGTGACAACGTAATCCACTAAATAGAAAATGACATTCACATTTATGATTACCATCATCTGTATTCACACATCTTCCGTGTTTTCCACATATATCATGTACTATCGAACATCGATCAACCACTTTTTCACATATAAAACTTAATTTTCGATCACAATCGTCTACATTCATACATAAACGTCCACGTCGTGCACGATCTAATATTCCACATGAACGATGGCGAGGCTCAGGTGGTAAACGACCTTCGCATAGTTCTTCGGTACTGTAATAGGTATACTCGGATAACGCTCGACTGTTTATCCATTGCCAAGAATCTAAAACAAACTAGCATTTGATTGTTGTCTTTTGACAAAGATTTTTACTAAATTAATTACCGTTTACGTAATGAAAACCGACAAAAAAATCTTCTCGTACATCGGATACATTTCTTGCTATATAGTCAAATTCACCATCACTATCAATAACTAATAAATCCGACGAAAATCTGGCACATTCGTGACGTGCTTCAAGCCATGTTCGACGGATGGGAAATTTCCAATAACATGAGGCAGCAAAATATTGCCATCCAATTGCACACCGGGCTACAAAACATAGAAAAACCAATGTTTTTTTAAATTCTTTCTTTTATATAGCTTCTAAAATTAAAATTAGGGGAACAGGATCATTTAGACTAGCAATCTTCTAGTGCCATAGCTTGAATTCAAGATTGATCATGTTCGTCAAGTTTTCGATTGTGATTATGTTAGTAAGTACTTGTATACATGGCATGACATCTCTCAATATATATATTACTTAACAATTTGTTGCTACTAATTTGTTGATAAATATTTTATTCTTCCATTGTTTATTATCTTGTTAAAAACTGAAATGTCCGTTATCTAGTTCACATTATCATCACACCAATTTGAATAGAGTATATGTGTAGCAGAAATTTTTTAGTTTGTTACTGAAAGTAACTGTATGATAAAAGTGTGTGAGAGAGAAAAAATGCATATCTGTAAAACAATGACATCAATTGACCTAAGTACTTTCAAATGGATATTATTTCATTTTACCAGTTATATCTTTTAATTATATTCTATTTGGCGTGATAGATAACGTAAAAACTGAAAGTATGTAGTACTAAGTAATGTGAGAGACATTTTAAAAAAAGACAATAAAAAAACAACAACTAGATCTTGTTAGAATTTAATAATTGCCTATACGGTTATCGAAATCAGTCCTTTTACGAATCTTCTGAAGCTAGCCAAATATATGTTGTTTTCATCGAAAAGATTTCGGTTCAAAATAAGATTATATAGTTATCTCAGAGATGAGTTAAACTCTAAACACGTTTTGTTAAGAAGAAATAGCGTAATTTATTAATTATTGTACAATTTTCTTATTACGGTATAGTTAGTAGAAGAGCAAAAGTGTGTCTGACGGTCCATTAGATGAAACAACAACATAAAACGATAATTGTTGTAATCAACGACTGAACAATGTTTAGATATAGAATGAAAAAGAAAACGAGACAAAAGAAGGCAATATTGCGTATATCTTACGTCGTCATTAGATATATGGAGACATAAGCCTTCAATTAGATTAAATCGATTTTAAAACACTCTAAATTTTTAGTCATACAGGTCAGTAAAAATAAAAGGTCATTTTGACTTTTTTAATCAGTGAATAGAAAGATTGATGAGAGAAGTAATTGAGTCAATTTAATGAGTATATACTAGTTCTTTAAATTGAAACAGAAAAAAAACTAATCAATACATCATCCATATACCCTATGTCTTACACGGGAAAAGAGAAATCAAGCATGCAGTTTTTCTACCGCCTTTTAATCGCTGATAAAGAGTAACAGATTGTTTATTTTGTGTCTATATATATATATATATATATATATATCACAATTTACGGAAAGAGCTTCGTAGGCATAGGGTGACGAGTTTTCTCAGCTTTTGTCGAAGCTTATGCTGACTATGAAATGTCGAAAAGTCAAAAGTGTGGTCAATTCTATTATTTTTGTTCACACATACTGTTTCAATTAGATGTTACATGTATCAATAGATGATCATATCACATAAAGTTCAACAATCACTTTCTCTCTCTTTTTTTCTATGACGATAACGATATTTATCTTTATTAAAGATGAAAGTAAAGTTATTGTTATTCTACATTTTCGACTTTATTATTGTTTCAATAATGCGCGATTGAGTTGAAACAGAAAAACAACAAATAACTTCTAATCTCACACTTCACACATCTCAATAACTTTTTCTAAAATTTAGTGTCTACTTACATTTTTCTTGTATTTTTTCTTGTATTTTTTCTTTGGAAATATTCTTGGCTTTTTTAGCTGCATTTTGAATATCTTCAAATAGAGTTGAACAATTGACGATGATTATCAATAATTGAATGGATACAATAATAATTATCAGACGACACATGACTAATCTAATCTAAATTCTAGAAATAAATAAAATAAAAATAGCAAAACTTTATGCTTGTAATAGGCTGAAACAAAGTAAACTACATGAAAAACTAGTTATCATGACTACTTTATTGCTCTTCAGTACTATATTGACAGAAAAAAGAATTGAGTCTTTTTGTTCATTAAAAAGTGGGAATAATTTATTCATCCTACGGCGTGTTGCCACGAGCATAATGTTTCTGTTCTACTTTAAAGTAATATACTAATTTCCTGAAGAATTAGAACCTTGGAATCGTTTTTTTGTATCATCTCATTTTTGATACAAAATGCTTTTTCTAAATGGAGACACTGTGCTCACTCTGAGACTACTAGTAGTAGTTTGAGAAAAATGAAACTGGAGAACAAAATTGTACAATCGAAGAAGAGAAAAGCAATAGTATAACTTAAATTATAATAAAAACTTTATTTAAAGTTTCTTATTTTATTCCATTTTTTTATGCATCATACGCACTGTTCACATCTGGATCTACTTTTATCGTCTTCCATTAATTTAAAACTCGTATAGAGCCTAATCATCATGAACTCTATTGCACATATTTAAAAAATCAAAAACAGGCGGTATATATTAAATAAAACACAAAAGAAATGATGGTATCTCTGGCTACTGTATGATAAAGGTGATACCTATACCTACCTATATATACGTATATGTGATGCAAAAATGATAAGGCCACTTAGATCATCTAACGGTTATATGCAATTATTATTATCATACTCGTCGACTCGTCACTTTGTCTATAAATTAAGACAAAGACGTACAGATATATGTATAATTCTATTTTAAATTACAATTGAGAGAGTTGCATTGCGTATATATATTGTCTGACCAATATCTGTGTCAAGCAAAGAAGAGAAAGCTCCCATTAAATATAGAATCGTAATTTGATACTTTGTGACGATTGTGACAATCGATCTTTTCGTACAACATATTAACGGTGCTATATGCCCACGCGCCCGGCACCGACATAGACAGATACTTTTGGACGATAGGCAGGCATCACATCTGGCATTGTAAAACCATATTTTGTTCAGAAAGTAGTAAAACTAACCCGATATCAAGCAAATCAGTTACAGTTACTAAGAATAATGAGAACTGAAACTGTCTCACCTCTACTCATTACTGTCATCTGTAGCATTATCTTACTGATGAGCCATTTTTGACATTAGATGCTATGCTATATTCAGAAGAATGATACAGATGTACGACAGAAACACGAAAATAAAGAAAATCCGATAGAAATGGAATCCATACTACTTCAGGATTCGTAATAAAATAGGAATGTTAGTGACATTGTTAGGTAAGACTGTGTTATCATCTCTGAGCCTGTAGTGTAAATTGGCTCACATTTAGAAAAAGCATAGAATAGAAATGACATAGTAAGATCCATATAAAAGAAATTTTTTGTTGAAATGTAACCTATTCTCTGTTCGCAAACTCTGATGTGTCGAACATAGTTTTCGTGTGTTGGCAAAGAAGAAAATGCAACTTCCATGTAAGCATTTTCTTTTCCGCTTTTAAAAACGTAAACAACCGCGACAGAATACTTTCTTTTGCGTTTTAATGAAAATAGAAGTTTTTGTATAAATAAAAATAGTTTCAAAAACGATTGATGTTACAAACAAATACAAATTTCTGTTGAAAACATTTTTCTTAATTGCCCTTGTTAGCAACCTTTTTTTGTTTCTAAAAAAGTTGAAAACAAAAAACTTTGAAACGATAGTATGCGATTCAAATAAAAACAGTTGACCTTTAAATGAAAACTTTCTTTTCTATCGTTTAAATGCAAATGATAAATTTTTTAAAGATCGTATAAAAACAAATGCAAACATATTTCAAAATAAATTTGTTTCCGTTTAAACGCGTAAACTTTTACTTTTTTCAAAAATGTTTGCATTTGAGTAACACAAACATTTGAAAAAATGTTGCAATACATACGTATGTGACAAGTGTGCCTTGTTTAAATGTGATGTAGTGGGAATGCACGCATCTCATGTTAAATACATTAGAACAATGAATATTAAATTACCGAGAGTTTCATAATATCATAATCATCACCATATAGTTCACTGTTCATGGTCATAATTTTCAGAATAGGTAAAGAAACTATATTAAACAGATACTATTGATTTTGTCTATAAAGTTCAATAGTATACCACATTTAAATTTTTACCGACTTTTTTTCCAGAAACACAGACAGAGGTAGCAGAAAATACATTGAATTAAAGAATTAATCCTGGTACATCAGAAATGTCTCAACAGTTTCAATTCAAAATGAGCTTCACTAACAAGACAAATGTAAGTGTAGATAGTTAGTCCACTGTCAGTTAGAAACATCATGTTTCTTACCTTTTCTAATTAAATATAATCATTATTCATGAAACATGTGCGTGTGTATATTTGTATGTGTACAGTTGATATCATAATAATTTTCATGTTCTCTATTTAGATAACAAAATAGTGGCAGCATATCTGACACCTCAATAAACTTATAAACGAATGAGATATATAGTGCGGTGTCTGGATGTCTGATAGAATACGTTTGTTCCACACATCTACTAACAACACCTTTGGGCTATACCATCTCTCTCTGATCAAAAATCGCCGTTCATCGATTCTTACCTTAATTAGGCACATCATCATCATCAAGTGGAACGATATATATTCAATTGAAGCAATAAAGAGGAAATGTATGCTCTAGAAAAAGAAAGAGAGCAGAGAAAGAGTTAGAGAAGAGAAAAGAAAAAAAAAAGAACGATTACAGAACAAAACATATTAAAAATTTTTTTTGTAAAGTAAAAAATCAAGAACAAGTGTTAATGATAATGTTGTTTGACAGATTGAACATAAACACATTTACTTATAATTGAACTCTATATACAAACTATTTAATAGGCAATTTTCATTTCTTTTCAAACAGTTTACATATCCCAACAGCTAAAGATACACATTCGCTATCCTAATTACATTCATGGACTTTCTAATACATAATGTTTGAATATTAGTGACACTGTTTGCATAGTATAGCAAAAATTTAATGAAAATTAGATGTTTAGGTTATGTTCACTATCCATAAATAAAAAAACTTTATTTGATTGGTGAATAGATTTTAAGTTATTAATGATCATGATACAACATTATCATGGTAACCTTAGTTAACTAAGATAAAGTCTATCCTCATTACCTGTTTAATACATATATTTTTTTAGTTTAACATGTATATGTATATGTATATAGATGTTTCTTGTCTTATATGTGTTTGACGTTGAGGACAAAACGATGTTGATAACCGTTTCATAGTTACATCTGAATATACATACTATCAAATCTTGATGATGAATATTGTTTTGTGCACGCAGAATTTTTTTTAAAAGATACCGCTGTCATTAATCTTGATCATCGGAAAAATGCCAGAACATTAAAAAAAATAAAGTAGTTGTAGTAACAAGTGTTATAAGACGATTTAAAAATACAACAAGCACGAAACAATGAACATAAACGTATACATCAATAGATTAGAAAAAGGTAATGGAAATAATGAATGTATTTGTTGTTTTCATCATACAAGCAACTGTAACATTGACTAGTCAAACTAGTTGATTGTGAACTTCAAATAAAATCATCAGATACATTTTAAAATTTAACTAATTGAAGTCTAAAATATTGGAAAGAATATGATGACATTGCATGTAAAAGGCAAAAAAGTTGTTGAGATAACGACTAGCCAGTGTATTCAAGTGTGCAAAGCAAAAATTAGAGAATCTTTGACCGTGATTAATTAGCAATTATAGGTTGCGTATTAGAGGTCTTTCCTACTCGATAAGGTCGTTTAAAAACTTAACTGAATTCAAGTATTTTCATTCTTCATGATCATATAAATATTCGATCAATCATTTAGACTCTAAACATACTTTCCAAATTGATCGATAAATAAGATGAACAGATTATATTAGAATGCCAACAACCGTGTTCAATGATTTCTTGAAGGTCATAATTAAATATCTCTTTATCTTTCTTAACTAGGCTCTTTCTTTTTACGACGATACTCATCATAAACAGAAAGAAAAATGAATTAATCGCCTATTCACAACGTTCGATTGACCAAACAATACACTTCCTAAAAGTGTGCTATGGCCAATAAACAAAGATAAAGGCTGATAACTCACAACATGCAATAATAAAAACAAAAAAAAAAAACACTTGATCAAATCTGTTTACTAAAATCTTTACTTTTCAAATATTTATTTACTCATCAAAACAGAACATTTAATATAGAGACATACATATACAATGGATTTTAATCTGTCTTATTTGAGAACTGTTATGAAGAATTTTAAACATACCTTATTTTGTTCATAAGAAATATTTTTATTTAAATCACATCAATAAAGATTGAATCATATATTCATGTTCTTTCGATCTTTCTATTTCTTTTCTTCTCTATTTCGCGCTCTCTCTCTCTCTCTTTCTTTCTCTCTCTGTCGGTTTCTCCTGTATTGAACATAACGTTCAATCAATGGACAATTGAACAACTTCTGTTTCTTCTATCCAACAGGTGTTGGATCGTAATTGAGCAAGGCCAGTTAATATTATATAAATTTTACTCGATTAAACATCTTTTGAAGTACACATTACAGATCTTTTGTCTACTTTCGATTATTAATTCAGCGATGCATACATCGATCATCCACCTTCTTCATACAAGCTGGTTCTTCATCATGTTTACACGAATTAACGAACTCATTGCTATTGTTACACAACAACGATCTGTTACTTATCTTCATGTTAACTTTTTTCAAAAGTTGAATTAACTATTGTTTCAGAACTATCTGTAAGAAAATAGATGAAAAATAGAAAGTTGTATTAAGTATAATATAAAATACTGTTTAAGAAATTTATCTTGTCTAAAAGGACAAGGGTACTTATCTAAGAAAATTGTTAGAAATTGAAAACACTTC